AAATGGAACTACGAATTTTGATACGTTTGCTGTGACAGACCATTAGTGAACTATCGAGGTGGGTACTGGCATAATTGTCCAAAAGTTGGCGGCTGCAAGACAAAAATGACAAATCTAAGTAGCCAAAGACAATAAGCTCAATATCTTTCTCAGCCTGTGTTGAAGCACAATAGCGATGCGTTCACCACCTTGATGGCACCACTTTTCCCTCTTGTAAAATGCAACGCCACTAGAAAATGTATCGCAGCACGAGGGTCCTGTAACAGCTACCTTGGACAGGATCTTTCATGCAGGAGAGCATGCGTTACCGAAATGCACCTATAGCACAGCATCGTAAGATTTGGTTGAACATCAATTTTGTTGGTTGGAGTAGTTTTGTGCTCTGTGATGGCGAATGGCGTGCCGAAGAAGGCGAGACAGCATTTCACCAATTGCGATTTGAGTGGTCTGGTGTGTGATTGGGTGGGTTGTTGGCGTCCGAATTGTCATGATACAACGGTGATGTCGAAGCTGGTGCCTAGCTGTGACTATGCAGCGCTCTACATCCATTTTGCAGGACAGCGTTAAAACATCGGTGGCTAGGCGCGTTCACGTGGATAACCAACATCGCCCTGGTGCGGATAAAGCTCTTTTCTTCTAGCAACTCATCAGTTTGATGCTGGACTGCACACATCCTCTCACTGCGTCTCCTCATCAGATGTCTCTGCAGTCAGCATCGGCCACGTGCACGCATGCATGTTCATCTCTTCTGATCACAGATATCGTAGAAGTAGGAATGGGAAAAAGGAAGGGAGAAGAAGGTGGAAGTAGATAAAGGAAGTAACGCGTTTTAAGTGCCCAAATATGCAAAAGAGCAGTTTGAATTTCTGTACCTCGGTGTCTCACGCTTCCAGACCCAAGTGCCATTGAAGTCCATTACCCATATCGAGCAGAGGTGGAAGGTGTCGTCGCTGTGTAACCACACCAAATACCACTACATGCATTGCTCCAAGCTGCTGTATCCCTGCATCCCACTTTTCACCTCTGTGTGTGGTCCCTAGGAGCAGCAACCTCCTCCTTCCCTCTCCTTATCTGCCGAAGCAGTCCACATCAATACAGTGTGGAAGAAGATGTTTCACTTACCTCTACTACTCACGCACTGCTATTATAGTGTGTGCTGTCCTTTTGCCCATCACAAATATTTACTAAGCCGTAAATCTGACAGCTAAACGAGCCGGTTGGACAGCAGCCACCTTCTGATTATCCTGTCTTCCATGACTGGCATATCCAACAAGAAATCGAACCTGTCCTAAAAGGCAGCACTCTATTCTCAGAGGTGGAGCAGACTGCCAAACTATACACCACCCATCCCACTTACATTCCTGTTCATGCTTGTGAGGTAGATAGCTGCCCAAACGTAATAGATAGCTGCACTCAGGTGAGCCACTGATGCTGCATGTGTAGTAACTGCAACAGCATTGGTGCAGGTCACACACCCACCTTTCGTGTTCTCTTCACGGACTTCACTGCGGTTTAGTCGCCTTGTATTCATCGAT